CTGCACTCTAAATGTATCCCATCCCTTTTTCATTGTAAGTTCAAGTTGGATACCTTAAGATTATTGTTTTACCTCCCATAAATAAAGCACTTTGTAATATTATGCATTATCCACTCCAGATGCATGCATGATAAAATTATCCTTTTTACTTTGTTGCATTATAAAGTAATCCCACTCTCCCATTCCTGTTTTATAGAAAGATCTTGCCCATTTATTTGCATTCTCATATGTTTGTTCCACTTTGAAGCTTATGTGTGACACAGTGTTGCCTCTTCCAGCAATTTTCCTTATAGAAGTGTTCATGAACAAAAAAATTACATTATCAGCTGTTTTATATGTTGAGGTGTGTGCTTTTCATCAAGTACTTTGTACTTTAACTTTTCTATCTCAAGCATTGTAAATTAACTCTTTCAGTCATATGTTTGTTTTATGAATCCTGCACATCATGTTTATTTATTGCCTTCCATTTTATGTTTGGTCAGAGAAAATTTACAGACATCTGGCTCCTGAGTGGCCATTGCTGTGTAGTTTTTGGCTCTGCTGAAAGTTATACATTCATGATATTTTTATAGAAAGTTATTTAACAAAAATTTTTGGAATGGAAAGTGTTAAAGCAGTAGGAATTTCAACTATAATGATGATGATGTTCAGCCCCACCAGGACATCACACTGAGCGATAAACACCCAGTGAAACAAAGTGTCGCCATTCGGATCACCCAGGGACATGTCTCAACCCGTAGGTTGTGTTATATTAGGACCCTCGGCAACATCCAGGGTGGGCTTTAAAACAACAAACAATTGCATTCCACATTGGGATGCATGTAAGTAATGGTATTTCAACTGGAAAGAGCTAGTTTAAATTATATAGGACAGAATTGATACGACAACTATATAACCTGAAAAACATCCAACGGCAACAGTTTCTGGACAAATTCCAAATATCATTTACCAATGGAAAAGCAAATGAGGCAGTTGTCAAGAAACAGGTGAAAACTTTGTATTTAAAAGAGAAATTAAACCAAAACAGCCCAGATTTTAAGGATATATTACGAGAAAGAATAAACTAAACAAACTTGGTGACAGCTAGCAAATGATGAACCATGACTAATATATATATATATATACACACTTTTATCTCTACAAATACAACCTAATGGTCGTAAGTAGATATCTGATGTTTGTTGTCTTATATGTTATTTAATGTGAATGTATCCATATATATAAGATAAACAAGAGTTGGCAATGAGCCAAACAATAATCTGAAAAGTGCTGATACCTCAACAGTTTGTTTACTATGGAATTAATATTTGGGTAGATTTTTAACTCCAAATTTTGCCCAGGCAGCGCCGTTAGGTTACTCTTTTCAATTTCCAAATGCAAAAAGATTTATTTTTTTCATGCGCAACAATACACACGCTTGTCTGATCTTACTACCCAGAGACCAGAGAAAATTACTAGAAGTCCATGTGAAAAAAAATCTCAGCCTTCATCGGGACCTGAACCTGGGACCTCCAGCACTCGAGGCGGACGCTATGCCCCTGAAATATATATACACCCCAACAATTTGTTTACTACACAATTAATGTATGGAATTTTTTGGTTTTATCTCTTTAGTGGATTATAATTTATTTATCTACACAATATATATATAATGGGCATGAATTGTTAGAAACTGTACATTACTTAATCGCAGCTCTATCGGTTGACAATAACATCTTAGTATTTTCTTTTCAGTTTCTTTCATTTAAGTCTGGTCTCAAAACAACGTTTCTACACTTAAATATTTACCAACCTAAGACACGCAACCACACCAGTGTGTTACTTGGTGTAGCCTTCAGGTGTTGCCTACATATAATTTCTTAGGCAATAAAACACGGTATTTGGGATTTATACACTTGGATCTAAGTTATGACTTACTGAGCTGCTGGAGTACAAAACCTTTCTGTGACATGTTGGCTGGGAAAATCAGTCTGTTAGTCACTTAACTCTTTGAGTCCCAGGGGGTTTAGCATCACAGGCCCAGGGGGTAGTAAAGAGAGTCATAAAATCGGCGCATCATGCGTTCATTGGGCTTCTAGGTGCGAACCTATGAACGTATGATGCGGTCCTTGGGACTCAAAGAGTTAATCAGCCACAGTACGTATGAATTTATTTAAATTTATTCACTGTACATCCTTAGTCTTCAGCAATAATCTCTGATCTAATCAGATATTTGGAGGCCTAATTGTGTTTACAGATAAATTTTTTTTTCCTCACATTTCCATGTGATTGTTTTCATGGAACTGGTAATTTTCTTGGTTGCTTTTTAATTAATAAAATTAATTAATAAATTATATTATTTCTGAGAAAAATTAGTTCAAATCTGCCAGGCACACTGAAGATTTTGTTTGGCTCAGTTGCCTGTTTAGCTGTTAGCATATTTTCACAACGTAATTTACTTCTGTACAGTTTTGTTTTTGAAAGTGTCTGATATTTATATTTTCCCAAACATACAAATTTATTACATTGTTTCATTTGTGTTTATGTTGGTTTTTAAACCTTTCTTTACATAAATTTTAAATGTACATTATGTAACATAAATATAAGTGTGTATAGCTTTGCTCAAGTAATTTTATTTGTAATATTTGGACATTCCGTCATTTAGTATAAATTTCTGTTATATACAATTATTATTTGTTAACTCTTTGAGTCGCAGAGGGTTTTGCATCACAGGCCCATGGGGTAGTCAAAAGAGATGTTAAATCGGCTCATCATGAGTTCATTGGGCTTCTAGGCAGTAATCTATGAACGTATAATGCGTTCTTTGGGACTCAAAGAGTTAAGACAAAATATTATATTTAGCCATTGTGTGGAGATGGATTTTTTCAAGTCTGTTACTATTAGCTAGTTCCTTTTTGAAAATTTTAAAGTACAAGAATATTATTCTGAAACTAAAACTAAGATAGAAATGTAAATACCATAATTAGTTTCCATGTGAAAAAAAAAATATTTTTGAGACTATTGGTCAAAACAAATGCTTGAAGGAAATAATTATATAGTTTTGCTTTAATTTTAATGTCAGCTATTCCCATTTTTTGTACTGCATTTATAGAACAGGAGCTGCTAATGTTTGTGGATTTAAAAAAAAAAATTTTAAATAACTTTGGGTTGCATAAGTACAAACATTAAATTAATATATTTTTGGGGGATTAAAGTTATGAAATATAATAATTTCTTTAATTGTTTCATTATTTTTTTTTCAAGATTGCTTGCGAGTTAATTCAGATAATAAACAATAAATGACTGTACCATGTAAATTTTAGAAATCCACTATGATTGGGATTTGAACCAGCGACCAGAGGTGCTACCACCTCTTCCATTATTTGATCATACAGTTAAGAAACATAATGCCAGACCTGAAGCCCCGAGCCTAACTGTCCCTTATAGGTGAGCTCCTGGGCATTGACACGAAAAAGCCAACATGATATACAAAAATATTAGTTACACGCAAACAAGTGGTTAGTTTAAGATGAAACTTGGAGACATTGTTGAAAATAGGTTACCTTTCATCTAGCGCCAATATTCCACCTTTGTGTGCCAATCCATTCAACAGGATGAGCCTTGAGCAGCAGATGTTGCTGTTTGAGAGACAAGCCCCCTTTCTCTTACTATCGATCTAGTTCTAGATCTTTAAGGTTCAAGATTTTTCTCATCACTTGAGCTCTCACTGTCTGTGTCATTTGAACTGGGAAAGTATTCTTGATGAAATTCTGACTTCTCAGAGTCTGAATCAACCAAAGTATTGATCACCTGTTGGACTGTGAAAATCCTAGACATATTTCGCTTTCCTGTCAAAGTGTTTGATTCAGCAGCCACTTGTTTCATTGTGAATTTTCAGAATTGTTTCACGTTAAACCACACAAAGTAAATCCAAACTTATGGGGGCAGCCATTTGCAATGCCTTACAATGAGGTTTGACCATGATTGGTTGGTTATTTTTAGTTTGTGATGTATTTTTTCACGCTTTTAGTACTCAAAGTACCAAAAATCAGGTACAGCGGTTTAGTGGCAGATTAGGAAATTCCAGGAAAAGTGGTTCAGCAGTTTGGTATATATAGATATTTAAGGGAAAACGTAATTTAAATTATATCGCAGTGTTTTCATTTTAAAACTATTATTTACTTACTTACTTACTTTACTTTTTCCTTCCACGTATGCCGCTAAGCGTTGTGGGGAGATGCAAGTTCCTGTCATAAGCAAGGCGGGCAGCATCTGATGTTCTGAGGCCATGCTTTTGGCAGGTTTCGGAGACCCCGTCAATCCACCGTTTCCTTGGTCTTCCTCTTGCCTTATATCCTGAGCTTCTTTGGTTGAAAATTTGTGATGTTATTTGATCATTTTTCATCCTGGTTAGATGTCCAAACCATTTCATTCTTTGATGTTCTATGTAGTCTAAACATGGTGTAGTTTTGACAGTGTTTCTAATGTCTATATTCTTTATCCTGTCTAGTCTGGTCTTATTTGCTGCTTTTCTTAGACATTTCATTTCACAGGCTTCTATTTTTCTTTCATGGGTCTTGTTGATTGTCCATGTCTGGCACTGGTAGCAGAGTGTTGGAATGAAGATGGTGTTTATCAATTGAAAAAAAAAAAACTATTATTTACTAATGAATAATGCAGCTTGTAAACATTTATTATACACTTCATTTCATGGATTGGATGAAAGTCTTGGATTTGCGTGGTCTTGTGATAAATTAGTACAAAGTGCTGTGTTTTCAAATTAATCTCCTTGAAATTTTAAAGGAAAATGGCAGCATTAAATAACAGAATAAGTTTACTGGATCATTCATACATTAATTCAAAAATTTAAAGAATATAGTGTTTAAACAAAAGTAATTTATGAAGCAGCATATTTAAAGAAAGCATTGCTGCATATAACTGTTGCCTGTTTCAAATATTATTGTGTTTTTATTGTGTATTTGTTCCAGTTTTTCAATGTCTTGTACATTTTGTTACTGCAGAAACAAGACACCACTGGAAAGAAAGAGATCACAGTTCTGGATCCAAAGCGATCAAACGCTATCAACATTGGTCTGACTGTGCTGCCACCACCAAGAACAATTAAAGCAGCTATACTGAAAATGGACAACTCCATAATGAACAAAGAAGGAATTGAGGTTAGTTATTAGAGATGGTTTTCTTGTTGTTATACATTTATAGTTACACTTTTCAAAATACACTTTTGGTGGAAAGTAATTTTCCATCCTGGTTTATATATCTAAATTGTCATTTGCTTTCATTATTTCTATACTAAAAAAGTGAATATTTCCATCATAATTTCTACTTTCTTGTTTTCAGTACAGGGAATACTTCGTTAACCCAATACATCCCACCCCCCTTCTTGCCGCCCCTTACCTTCTTTGTTTGTCAGAGTAACCCCAGACATTACATTTTCATCAGTTTTGTTTACCTTGCTTTCTGCAGTGATCTTTTCACCATCTTCTGCATTGCCATCTTTTAAGATCCATGCTCACACTATCTGTTCACTTTCTGCTCAATTTTTTTTTTGCATTTATCTTGATTTACTGCGTTGTTGTTATTAACCAGACACATGTATTTCAGCAGGACTCAGCATCTTCATTTCTGTAGTTTTCCTTTGTTGATTGTAATTTCTTGTTCACTTACAAGAAGTAATTCATTATTTAAATTGACACTCCTTTATTGATGTTTATATTTATCACATATTATATTTCTCATTATGAATGATCATGATTATGATGTTGAATTTAAAATCAAAGCATGTATCAGTACTGTGCAAGTTTAATAATATTATTTTAAATCAGTCAGTGTTCATTTTGCTGCTTGTGGTTCAATCTTCTGGAGAGAATAGTGATGGAGGATGCAGTTTCCCGCAGACGAGGTAGAGTCCGACCTCCGCAAGGGTCGATACAGGGCACTGAATATGCATCGGCTAGAACAGCACATAGGGCTGGAGAATTAGCTAGAAAAAGAGAGACTTTCAGGCATGCTGTGAAAAGAGCGACGTTCTGTAAAGGACTTGCTGATTGATTGACTTATTCTTTAGCTTGAACATTTTTGACACTGTTTGGTGATGTCCTAAAATTTGTTCTTTTAACCAATGGTGTATTCTGAAGAAAAAAATTACAAAGGTTTTTTAACACCCAAAGTGTTGAATGGAGAGTGAGAAGCAACAACGAAACTCAAAATCTGTATAAATCACCTCTAATAACTGGCATCATAACAGCTAATAGACTGTAATGGTTGGAGCATATTGAGAGAATGTCAGATGACAGAGAAGTAAAAACTATATACACCAGGGAGATGAATGGTCGTAGACCATGAGGCAGACCAAGAAGACGATGGAGAGATAATGTCCAGACAGACCTGTAAACGCTTGGTGTCACCAACTGGAAAGAGAAGGCCAACCAGATGGTTGATAAATGGAGGCGGGTGATATCTGCAGCAGTGAACCTCAAAGGCTTGGAATGCTGAAGAAGAAGAAGAAAAAAGAAGAAAACAAAATGTAGTGTGAAAAGCTTTACTTATATCCATACTAAGTTTGTGACTTGCTAATTTTGCTGATGGCATGCCGATAGATGTTACATTACTCTTATTAGGAGTTAATTGTATACACTGTTTTTCAAAACCATAATGACATTATACAAGGTCATAAAGGAGATAATTTTAAATTCGTAATAAGGTCATCAGTGAGTTAGAAAGTTCATTAGAAGTCATTCAAATAAAAACCTCTTGTAACTGTAAGCTAAAATATGGTCTCTCACTATCAATCATTTAGATTTCAAGATAGCTGTGCAAAATCTATTCATTAATGTACAATACATTAAAATTGTTCCCAATTGTCTAGTTTGTGGTGGATCTGAATCAGCAGCATTATTAAAAAAACTCATGAAAGTCAAGCGATGACTGTTAAAATAAACCCAAGTAAGTCAAGAGATGACTGTTAAAATAAACCCATGAAAGTCAAGAGATGACTTTTAAAATAAACCCATGAAAGTCAAGAGATTACTGTTAAACCCATGAAAGTCAAAAGATGACTGTTTAAATAAACCCAAGTAAGTCAAGAGATGACTGTTAGAATAAACACAAGTTAGTCAAGAGATGACTGTTAGAATAAACACAAGTTAGTCAAGAGATGACTGTTAAAATAAACCCATGAAAATCAAGAGATTACTGTTTAAATAAACCCAAGTAAGTCAAGAGATGACTGTTAGAATAAACACAAGTTAGTCAAGAGATGACTGTTAAAATAAACACATGAAAGTCAAGCGATGACTGTTAAAATAAACCCATGAAAGTCAAGAGATGACTGTTAAAATAAACCCATGAAAGTCAATAGATGACTGTTGAAATTAACCCAAGTAAGTCAAGAGATGACTGTTAAAATAAACCCATGAAAGTCAAAAGATGACTGTTAAAATAAACCCAAGTAAGTCAATAGATGACTGTTAAAATAAATCCATGGAAGTCAGCAAATGACTGTTAAAATAAACCTGTGAAAGTCAAGAGATGACTTAAATTAACCCATGGAAGTCAACAGATGACTGTTAATTGTATCACCTTGCTTGTCATCTTGGAAATGTTTCCAAAAAGTCTTCTTGTTTCATGTATGGATCCCGCTGACTCTCAATTTTTCTCTACTTCTAATTTTTTACTCTGTATACATTGAAATATGATGTCTTACCCTGCACATTTCAGAAAATCTTAACAACAATGATTCCCACAGAGGAAGAGAAGGCCAAGATTCTAGAAGCTCAGATGGCCCACCCAGATACTCCTTTGGGAACTGCTGAACAGTTCCTCCTGACATTGTCTTCAGTGTTTGAGCTTGAGGCCAGACTTAAGCTGTGGCTCTTCAAGTTGGATTATGAATTGTTGGAACAGGTACTATAAACATCTACTTGGTAGAGCCTGTATTGGAGCCAAAATGTTTAATTGTAAACATATGGAATGTTTTATGTTGGAAAGTAGTTGCTGGATTAATAGAATTGTCTCATAATTGTATATATTGTCATGTCTCCTGTTCCTCTTTTCCTCTCTATCTCCACTTTCTTTTGTCTCTCTCTAAAATATCACAACATCTAGTTTGAGAATGGAGGTAAAGGCAGTCTCTGCTGCCATCTGCTGGCTTGAGAATCAGCTAATTACACATGCTGTGATTGTAACTGACTCACAGAGCATGTTGAGAAAGGTGAAAACATGCATGCTTTGTACAGAGTGGCAAGCATCACTTCAGTGGTCCCGGGTAGTTAGCATCCTTTAGATATTTTCTCCAGGTCAAGTCGGTGTGTTCTGAAATGAGCGGGCAGATAGACTGGCTGGCTCTGCACCACTTGGTGGTGAACTGATATATGACAAGTTAGATATTGTGAGGCTCCTTTGGGAGTGAGGGAACAGTGCGGAGGCACAGATAGATAATTATGGTCTAAGGTGAATGGCGCTGTGAGGAGTTACCAGGGAATCTGGCTGACGTTCAACACTCAGGGGAAGGATGAGACAGATATAAAACCAGATGGTTACTGGTACTATCGGAATTGGAACTCTTTGCTTGCTGCTAAAGATGGGTACTGAGCACTTATGGGAGTGTCCGGAGTGCTGTGATGTTGATTCCTAATTCAACATTCTAAAATCTCTCTCTCTCTCTCTCACTCACACACACACATCTTTCTTTCTATCTCCTCTCTGATAATCTCTTTCTTTCTATTATCTCTTTTATTCCAGTATAAACTGTATCTTTTGTGTCCTTTTCTCCTCTTTATATGGTTCTCTGTTAGTAACTATTTCACAGTTCAACAGAAAAGTGTAACTGTAAATATATATGAACCAGCATATTAAATCTGCATGTTTCCTTACATTTGCATATAAGAGGATCTTCGCCTAATTGTTGTTTTTGATGTCTACTGTAATAAAGTGTGTGTTTACTGCTGACAGGAAGTTGCTGAGCCTCTCATGGACCTCAAGAAAGGAATGTCAGAGCTTCAGAAAAACAAAACTTTCAGATGCATTCTTTCAGGGATCTTGGCTGTTGGAAATTTCTTGAATGGAGCTTCTGTAAGTTTGTGTGTGAATATTTTTGTTGTGGTAATTATAGTATTTTATTATAATAACATGGAGAACAAGTAAAACAGTTACTAATATACTACAAACATTCATTAATTGGTGACTGCAGAATAAAGGGAATTAAATGGTATGATAGAATCACTAATGTAGAGCTTTGGGAGAAAACTAAACAAGTTCCAGTGAACCTAAATGATATTATATAAATAATATGCTGGCATTGGATGGGACATATGCTGAGAAAAAATGAGAATAATTTAACTAGAATGTTTTTGCAATGGAACACACAGGGGCATAGAAATAAAGGCAGACCCAAAAACACTTGGAGAATGGAGCTAGAGAGTGACATTTCAAAAAAGGGAGGACATGGGAAGACCTGCATGCAATAGCAAAGGATAGACGACCTGGCGGAAGTTAACTGAGAGCTTATGCTCCACTAGGGAAAAGAAAACAGAAGAATAAGAAAATTAATATTATTTTAAACCTTTTTCAGTACTATGCAACTAACAAGACTCATTGGTTAATCGAAGGACATTATACTTTTCTGTTTTATAGCACAAGGTATCGACAGATCAACACATTCAATGTGAATTGTTAGTTTAGCTACTTCGGTCCCTTAGTGTTTGTATTTAATATTTTTTGGGGACTCAAGCATTTATTAGCTTTAATTGGAACTCAAATCTTCATCTTCTTTGCGATCACCAGCTATAAGCTGTGGCAGAAAGTTCAGGTTGTTTATCCAGCTCCTGACTTTAGTCTTGGTCCAGAACCTGAGTGTTGCGTGCACATCTGTTTTACAGATCTGTATTATTTTTATGCAGATTGTTGGTTCCTTGCTTCTCAGGCAGATGCATTACGACTTGTTGGAGTCGGATGTGATGTTTCAAAAGGCTCAGATATCACAGGCTAGTTGTAAACCACAACTCAGCATGCCAGCTGCCTTTTTAAGGACAATGTAGAAGAATAAAAAGATGATTCTCAACCATTGTCTCTGGTGCACGAATACTAACCACATTGATTTCTTGAGTTGTATTGATTTTTGTATTTTACATAAATTTTATCTCTGACTCGTAATTCCAACATACCGCAACCGAAACCCACTGCTGGCTGCATGGATTTTTTTGTCATGGTATGGGCATCGCAGGTCGACCCAGCCTAAAATGATTACTGGGATGTATGTCCTGGGGAAGTAAAGATGGCCGGCATAATGCTGACCATATAACCCACCTAGTACCGATTGGTCTGTAAAAATATGGGGTACCCTTCCAGTATGCCCGATGCACATAAAGGTGTGAAAAGGGATCTTTACTTTTACTTTTTTACTTTTTTTTATGTCTGTATTTTATATAGATTGTGTTTGTATTTTACATAGTTTATTGTTGTTTTTTACCTAGAACTCTGTGAGATACTAGTAATGATTTGTGTTTTTGTTTTGTCTATGCAGGTCCATGCATTCAGTATAGAGTTCCTGCAGCGGGTACCAGAGATCAAGGACACAGTACACAAACATTCACTTCTTCACCATCTCTGCACAATTATCATTGAGCAGTTTCCAGATTCTACTGACCTGTACTCTGAGATTGGGCCCATTACCAGGTGTTCTAGGGTAAGCTCTTTGACACCAGAGATCTGTTATAGATGTTTTTGGGTAAATTCTGTAACACTCAAGATGTTTTATAGATAATAAAAGGTAAGTTCTTGGACACACAAGTTCAGTTAAAGATGTTCAAGGATTATAGATGCTTAGTGACAAAAATTGTTGAATACTGAGATTTTCTTGGGCTAGTAACCCAAACCCCAGTACAGAAAAATCATTAATACAATACTTCTTCTTCTTGGCCTTCAGTTTTGTATGCTCAGGTTGCCTCTATGAACTTACATGTCAGCAGCAGGTCCTTAATGGTTCCCCTTAGCTTGCTTTGCACACTTTGCTCTTGAGGCCATGTGTCTTTTCGAAGTTGTATGTAGAGTGGGCAGGTTTATAGAATGTGCTCAGGTGTTTGTGGTCCTGTTTTGACAGGCACACTGTGGGGAATGTACATTCTTTATTTTATGCAAGTGATAGTTGAACCTGCAGTATCCTGTTTGTAGACAGAAAATTGTTGTATGTTACTTTCTGTTGAGTTTGCTAATGGGATTTGTGGATCTTTGTTCTCTCTACAATTCCTTGTATTTTCCCTTGATAAGTGTTCTGATTTCCGGTAATGGCAATGAATGGGCGTGTTGTTTCTCAGAAACATAAATACAATTAGTAATGATCAGAGGCCACTTACCGGACCTCTGCAGGCTAAAATTTGGCCTGCAGGCTGCTAGTTGAATAGCCCTGTTCCAGGCTCAGTTCTTTAATACAGGGTTCTATTATAGGTATTTGTGGCGGGTAACTTCGCTTTAACTAGCGAATGCACTATGTGCACTTTACATAGGGAACAACAAACAGTAAATCTTAATAGGGGTTTTTATTACCCCCAGCCTTGCTGGTTAAATTAGAGGATTTGGGGTTTGCCCACATCTTATTCCCTGCTGTAATTAATTGTATATTTAAATGTATTTAAATTACACTAGCTTTTGTTCACTGACACACGTACAGTTACAATGAAACTTCAGAAAACTGTAAGAACATTAAAACTACATTTATTTTGAAAATTCAAATGATAACTAAATAAAATGGCTGTGGATATAAAATCCTGTTATTCAAGGTAGGTTAGTTAAATCTTAGCTGTAGCTTAGGTGAGCTTCTGGCTAAGCCTCGGAAACACATCAGGCAGGCCGAATCTTCCAGTCCAGACAATCGGGTATCTGCGGCTAAGCTTAGGATCTACTTCTGGACTCCCATCTGGAATACAATCTGGAACAATAGAACAGTCCTTATACAAACAGTCAGGAAGGTTCTTACTGGAGACAACATTACCTCCAGTCTTTAAACTGTTACACTACACACATATATATGGAGTAGGATAGTAACAGGTGTTCACATTCTACTGGTATAGAATGGGAATGTGTACAGAACATGGTCCATAATCCTGATGGGGAAATATTTAGGAAACCAGTTTCATGAATACTCTCAAGAACAAGAGTTTATTTACATCACACAAAAAGAAAGGACATTCCTCAGTGTAAATTGTTCTGCTGTCTGCACACTAGTACTCCTTTGAAGGGTTAACATGCTTACACACACAGACATACACAGTCATATTTCACAATATTTTCATTTTAACCAAATGGGTTCACATCACAATGAATGAGAAACAGGGAGTGAGTTTACCAAGACCAGGAACTCATAACAGGTGCTTTGCACTGTTTGAAAACAAATGGGATTGACATATCTCCATCAATATACTGGTGCTGGGATAGATGTCAAAATACAATCATAGATGACAATGGGCTTTCCATCTGTCACAGTATTAACATAAAATATACAACACTCACTCCAGTTTAAATCTAAATCCACACATGTGCTAATCTTATTCAGCAGAGTTTAGAAGTGGTGAGGGGTGAAATATAATTATTACATTTGTAAGGCCACCTGCTGTAGAACTGAAATGTATTCCTAGTAATAGGGAAATATATATACAACAATAATAATTACAAGCAGGGGCCATACATCTCTTTTCTGCTTCTTCTTCTCTGACAGTGTGAATATTAAATTCAGCCTCACTGTGTTATTCACTTTCCAAACTCTTAAACTAGTCTCAGAATTATCTGGACTAAATCTAAATTAAAGCAAGACAGTGATTTATTAAGCTAATATCACCATGAGGTAAAATCAACTTAGAAGGGATTAGGTATAATGAATATACACTTCATTCCTTTTTAATTGTCCCACCATGCTGGAAACCGGAACTGGCCGAGATTTCACATGAGGACATAATTATCAGTTAATTAATATAAGTATAATAATTAAAAATACCAATGCACGTTTCTAGTAGCAAATAAACATTAATTCAATCATCAAATAGAAAATATGTTTGCATACATGTACATACTAGATCATAAACGTGGTTAGTGGTGATAAAGAAATTTATCATAGTTGTTGAGCCATGTGGGCATTAAATTCCAGAATTTAACCTGTGGAATTAATTCAGAGGAATAAGCAGCAATACATCAAATTAAACTTATTCTTTTAACTCACCCCTGGCAGGGAATTCAAACAGAAAATTGGACCACAGGCGGACTAAGAACTTTAGTCTGAACCGGTCAATTTCTGAATTGAAAAGGGAACAGGAAGTCAGGAGGAAGTAACTCTTCAGTCCCCCTTGCCCTACTCTTCGCCTATATTACCTTTCAACTCTTTAATTATAATTTTGCTACAATAAAGCATTAAGAAAAAGGTAAGGAAATTTCTTAATTAATCCAGTGTTATTATGCTAATTAAAAGCAATAGGAAAATGTTTAGAACTTTGGTAATAATATTATCTAAACAAAGCACTTTTTAAAAGGACAGAAACAGCTGTCCAGACCAGCTCGTCACAGTATTCTCAGGCCATATCTATGACACTGAGTTTTATTATATATGTTGCAGAGTATGTTCTTTCACACACAAGCTCTATTGGATATGTTCTAGGATAAATTCTTTGACAGACAAGTTCTATTATAGATGCTCTAGAGTATTTGGCACATGTGTAATCCACTACAAATATAGGGTAAGGTATTTGGTACTTGAAATTCATTACATGGGATTTGAGGTAGATCATATGTGAGTTGCCGTCGCATAGCGACTAGACACTTGCATGCGGATCGGAAGGTTGTGGGTTCGCTCCCTGGCGCTGGACTTTTTTTAAAAATAACTTTGACTCCCAGGTTGACCCTGCCTTGAGTAGGTACCAGGTGCAGTCCAGGGAAGTAAAGGCGGCTGGGGGGGGGGGGGGTCACAAGTCTAAAATATGTTACTGTGTACTTCAAATTTCTCTTAACTAATTTCTCTTAATTAATTTCTCTATTGCCCTACAAGCCTCTAAAAGTGGATGCCAGAGATTTATCTAGTGGGTAAGGAAACTGGTCACTTTTTCTCCCTATAAAACTGCCATTACTGTCTGTATTAACCACTTTGGCAGTGTAGGCAGGGGGAGACTGAGGATTTAGGGTCACATTGTTAATCATTTATATTTCTTCTTCACTGTTATATTCACCACTGACAAGAAACATGAAATGTCAACAGCAATTATTTTGTACTTTGGTAGGTTGACTGGGATGAGCTGGCACATAAGTTAGATAAGATGGAGCATGATTGTAAAGCATCATGGGATTATCTGCGGGCAATTGTCAAGCATGATGGCAGCTCTACAGACCTCAAGGGAAAGTAAGTGATCTTAGAACTACAAGACTGATTACAGTGGTTTACTATAGGACATCTACTAGTGGAGCACCGTTCTTATGTTAGCGTATTAGGGAAGCCTATAATGTTGATTCTCCCATTATGTCTAGGCTTGGCTTTTCAGGTAAGGGCAGAATTGTGAGATATATTTTGTAATTTCTTTGGACTCAAGCACTGGTTACAGTTTGACCCAGCCTAAAATGGGTACCAGGATGGCTGTCCTAGGGAAGTAAAGATGGCCGGCGTAATGCTGACCACATTACCCACCTAGTGCCGATGGTCTGTAAAATATGGGCACTCTTTCCATATACCCGATACACCTAAAGGTGTGGAAAGGGATCTTTACTTACTTTACTTTAGTGATTACTTTAAACTGGAACTTCTTGAACAGAAAAAGTTACAAACAAAATTACAAGCTAGTGCTCAAAGAAATAATGTTTCTCTGGCAGTCAGCTTTCTTTGTGCAGTAAAACTAGTCATATTCATATCAAAACCACAATATTGATAACTGGTCATCTTCTTGTGGGATGCAATTTGTTGTTATTTGAAGCCCCACTCGGGCTCTTGCCAGGAGCCGCAATATAACCCAGCCATAAATATGGTCTAATGGCTGAACGCGGTTTCTGGGACCTCAACACGGGTGATCCTCATCCACATGGTGGCATTTTGCGTCACCGGGTGTTTATCGCTTGTGTGATGTCGTGGTGAGGTACAACTACCTACTTACCTCTTTTGTGTAGTTCTGGTAATTGAAATTTAGATTTGTGTTAACTGCTCAATTTTAGACGTTACTTGTTCAAATTATGTTTTTTATTTTTTTGCGATGCCTCAGAGAACTAAAATCTGGCAGTGTTACAGGAGTTTTTATTTGAATTTGAAATGACATTTTAATTTCTTGCACAAGGTAGAATTTATAATCTTGTAACTGTAAGAACATTAGCATTGTATCTGTCAATTTTAAAGATTACGTATGTACACTTTAAGAATATTAATAACCTTTATGAAACAACAGACTGTATTTCCTGGGAATGTATTTTTTTAACTCATTGAATAATATGCAGTTGGAATGCCAGTCTGAACAGTCTTTCCCTTGATGTTTGTTAACAATTGATGTTTGTTAACAAGTGATGTTTTACTCCACAGGATGTCATTATTTTTGGCTGATGCTGCTGAGAGAATAATGATTTTACATATTATTTTCAAAAGAGTGTTGAACAGGTGAGAGTTATTTCTCTTAGATTTGAAACTTTAGAAACAAAACTGGAAGTATGTACTTAAAACAGTGAAGTTTCCCGTAGTAGTTACTGTTGTGTGATATGATCATGATTTTACAAGTAATAGAGCATCATCATTTAAGATGGTGTATCCAGAACTTCCACTTCTCACTGCCATAATTCTACCACTTAAAAAAGGAATAATATTAATCTAGTTTGAACATGTCTGGCACAAAATTTACTACTTATTGGTAGAGCCAATTAATGTAATTTCTTTATGTCATTTTTATGTTTTCAGTTTAATATCAAAAGTTTTTTGTTTTTTTTTATGCATAAATACTTTATAATAGGATGTGGACAAATATAGACAGGAGAAGAAAACAAAGATGTATATAGGATGTTAAATAGTAGGGCAACAAACAACAGTGACTTGAATTTCCTCAAAAAATAATAAAATGATGTGATAAGAGTGGCTGGAAGGTCATGAATATCAACATCTGCTCAACAGCAGACACCTAAAGAAGTAAAATAAATGCAAAACAACGTTTAACCATTGTGAATTTTAAAAAAGAGCATAGACATTGTATTGCAGAATACATTTCAGGGAATATTTTGCTGTATCTTTAAAGGTGTAAAAATAGACAGTGTGATTCGTGCATTTCAGTTGAAATGTTCTTCTCTTGTCAGATAATCGCAATTCCAGCTTCCTAGTAAATAGGTTATTCCATAGTTAATGGGAAAAGGTAAAGTCAGGAGATGTGAACCAGCATCATTGCACACGATCATAAACCATAAGTGCTCTGCCACCAGTACGGACAGCTGAAAAGAATTGTACGCCTGTGTCGCCTTCGGCACGTAACTCCGTTCTAAAGTGACATGTCTTCATTTACCCCAGAGTGTCAACTCTGGTACCAATTTCCTAGAGGCTGGGTGAACCCCGGGAACCGCCCGGTTTCGAACACCAGGCATGGGCTGCAACGAGTCGCAGCTGAACTTGGAAGCTAGTCTCTTATCGGCTGCGCTAATGAGAACCTCTAATACACGGATCCCATAGTTGCTCTGTTCTGGTGCCAAGGAAAACCACACAGAATACCCATGGCTGTCCCCTGTGAAAAAGATTGATGCAGACTGTAGTCTCATCAAAGCCAGCAGCATACACATGCACATTAAACACATAAGGCAGTTGTCAGAAGTACCAACACAAACTGTCCTGCACTAGAAATGCCATTATCGCATATGGAAGTTGCAGTTACACAAGATCAGTAGTTGAACCTTTAATTAATTACATAAGGTACCACAACAGGCCACTCAACCATTTTCTGAATCTGCAGTTCCCAACACAAATCATATTGGGCACAGTTGAAGAGCTTTCCCAAATGAAAACCTCAGCTCACAGTATCACACCACACACTCAGCTCTGTAGCTGTGCGATGGAACTATATCTTTTCAGTCTACATAGGGAGGAAACTGCAATGGTTAACAATTGTCAGAAACAAAATTTGCCACAACTAAAAACAAGAAGGCAGCCTATCCACCATATTGACCGGAAGTCTTGTGCTTCATTGTATGTTGATATAAACTCTGCGGCAGTGGTTCATGTGATGAGATACAGGGAAATTTTCTGGACAATAAATTGTGCAATGTATTGTTTGTATTCTTATTATCTAAAAAAAAAAAAAAAAGGGAAGTTTGTTTTGCCTTTCTTTCCAAGCACAGTTTTGGTACCAACAAAACAGCAAAGTGTGTACCACAAGACCAGTGGTTCTTAACCTGTGGGTTGCAACCCTTTGGGGGGGGGGGGGGTCGAACAACCCTTTCACAGGGGTCACCTAAGACCATCAGAAAACACATATTCACTGAAGTTATGAAGTAGCAACGAAAATAATTTTATGGTTGGGGGTTAGTTACCACAACACGAGGAACTGTATTAAAGGGCTGCGGCAGTAGCTGGAAATGAAGAAGTTCCACTGTTTTGGCAAACTAGAGCACTGATCATTATTCTCATAGGTCTCTGGTCTACAAAACTATAATGTAACTCCACCTGTCAAACTATTTTATTAAATTATCAAGCTCCTTTTTTTGCAGTTGAGTCTAATTTTTGGCAGTTACTGTCACAGACATTTTTTACTTTATTAACATTATTTCAGGTAGTTTACTATGAATCCCTCAGCATAGATAGTTGTTACTTTATCGCAGATAGTTGCTTACAGGTGTTTCTTTAACATTTTAACATTACTTTTACTTTAACATTACTTCAGATACTTTACCACGACTCCTTTAACTATAGACAGTTGTTATTTTATCACAGGTAGTCACAAACATGTGTTACTTTAAAATTACATCAGGAATTTACTATGACTCCTTCAACTATAGACAGTTATTACTTCATCACAGATAGTTGCAAACGTGTTATTTTAACATTACTTTTACTTTAACATTACTTCAGGTAGTTTACTATGACTCTTTCAACTATAGACAGTTGTTACATTATCACAGATAGTTAAGATAATTGCAAACATGTGTTACTTTCTTTTCTTTTTTTTTTTGCTTAACATTACTTCAGCCAGTTTAATATGACTCCTACTACTATAGACAGTTGTTACTTTATCACACATAGTTGCGAACACATGTTAAAAATTACTTTTACTTTAACATTACTTCAGGTAGTTTACTATGACTCCTTCAACTATAGACAGTTGTTACTTTTTCACAAATAGTTGCAAACATATGTCACTTTAACAGGTAGATTTCTTTGACTCCTTTTGACATGTGTTTTAGTTAATTAACTGTGACTCTTTGAATCACGTATTGTCTCTCCTCTGTTATACGAGTCGCTTAGATGTCTAAAAATATACAACTTGATTTGTGCAGATACAACAAGCTGCTTTTGTTTTTGGGTTTCCCTGTTGCTGATGCACGTGACCTGAAGATAAACCACTTCTGTAAAGTTGTCAGTGAGTTCGCCTTAGAGTACCGCACAACCAGGGACAAAGTGATACAGATGCTACAGAAGAAAGCCAGTCAGAGAGAGAGGAAGAAGACACGAGGGAAAATGATTGTTGATGTGAGTATTATTTGATGATGAGGTCAAAGGGGGAGCAGAATGTGATGGGTGGGTGTGACCGAGCTGTTAACGTGTGTTTGTGTGGGTGAAATTATGTGTCGAAGGAATGATTTTAGATGGGAGGTTTAATAACAGTGGCAAACCACATGAAGACACATAAAATCATGAACATGTGTATATATGTGTAAATATTATATTTGGAATGTTAGTATGAGGGGAAGTCATTAAGTAAAGGCAGTTGTATCCTAGTCTGCATGAAACAGTATACAGAAGAAAAATATTATTTCAGGACACAGAATGCAGTATCCAACGTATGTGTTGTGACAATTTAGGCATATATGCATGTGCTACAGCTCGTACAAGATGGTGGCAGCACATTTAACATGCACTGTGGAAGAGCAGCGAGGTGTTTGTTTGTCGGCAGAAGGTGTTAAACCATCTTAAAGCTATCGAAGAATGAAAGTTCAATATGGAGACATTGTTTGGGTTCGAAGAAAGGGACATCTTATTGAACAAACTGAAGCCCATGATCCAATCGAAATGCCTGGGTCTTCTCTCAGAATGGGCTTTGTTGCTGGATAACAATGGCTGTGATACACTGGATACACTGCAGACTCTGCATGCGGTGTGAGGTAGTACAACATTCAACGTACAGCCCAGACAAAGTGAAGTGCTGTTGGTGGTGCATACTTGCTTTGTGGCCACACCCAAAGGCCTCTACATGGCAGGCATCCACATCTTGTGGATCAGTGCACTACTTGTGTTGCAAGTCAAAGAGGCTGTTGAGAAATAGGACACAGAACAATTTTTTTTTTGGTTCCAGCCGTTTGTAAAGATGTATTAATGCAGTTGCCTTTGTTTAATGACTTCGTCTTGTGTGTATATATATGTGTGTGTGTGCGTATGCACACATACAAGGTGGGAGAAGTGAAATGCAAGTTTAAATGAGAGAGACAAGGAGAAAGAGTGAGAGCTAGAGACAGTGGCCAAAATATTTTCATCATCATGCAAAAGCGTGTGACACCTAGTGAGATGAACAACAATTTCAGATTAAGAATTGTTGAATGTTATGTGTACATACTTAGCCCTACAGACCAGGACAGTAGGTAAAGTAAAAGACCCTTTTCCATGCCTTTTGGTGTAAAGGGCATATAGGGCTAGACCTATATTTTTATAGACCAATCGGCACAAGATGGATGATGTAGTCATCATCATGCCGGCCACCTTTACTTCCCGGGACTGCACCCAGTACGCACTCAAGGCTGGGTTGACATGGGAGCCAAGGTCTTCTTTTTTTTTTTTTGAAGTCCGGCTCCGCGAGGGAGCCAACCCACGAGTTTCCGATCCGCAGGATACCAGGAAATATGATGGAAAGAAAAGGCAGCTGTTGTGATGTTAACATCAAGTGCTGATTGGTTTATAAAGAATATGGATCTAACTCAGTGTACTAAATGTGCCAATGACATGGAAAGGGTCTGTAATATTTGATAATAGCATATTGCTTGCTGTTATTTCTGTAGACTGAAAACTTCAAGAGTAAAGATGCAGGGAATGACGAAGCTTTAAATGCTATCTTGAAAAATGGCTACACAAGTGCTGACGAGAGGGGTTTGCCTGGACAGAAATGCCGTAGGAAATTAGGTAAGCACAATCTGTGTTCAATGTGTCATACTGATTAAGTTATGGGGGGACGAATATATACATACTTTCTAATTTTAGTGAAATATTATGTTTACTATTAATATTCTTGATAGGAACAAGTCAGAAAGAACTACAGGAATTAATAGATACAGTAGTGGTAGAAAAATAATAAAATAGGTCTCAACTTGAATAATGGGAAGACAGAAGTTACCATAACTTCTGTCTTCCCATTAATCACCATGATTTCCAAGAAAAGAATAGTGCCTAAAAATCTAAAAAGTATCAAATGTGTTATTTTAGTACATAAATTTAAGTATCTGGACACATGGATAACGTCCAGTGGAAGATGTATCACAGAGGTAAAGAACAGAACAGGACAGGCCAAAACTGCCTTTTGCACAGTGAAGAACATTTTGTGCAATAAATCCATGTCATAGGAGGTTAGGAAAAGAATTCTTGCAGGCTATATAGAGCCAGTTTCAACTTACGGCTGTGAAGCCTGGGCATTTAATAAACAAGCAGAACACTATCTTGAGACAGAGATGTGATTTTACAGAAGTATCCTTAGAATTCCTTACACAGCCGAGAAGAGCAACCCAGATGTTTTGAAAAAGGCGAGGGCTTGAAGACAACTTGTCTCAAACATCAAAAAGAGACACTCGTCATTTTTTGGTCCTGTAATGAGAGATAGAAAATGAACATGTTGTGACCACTCAAAAGATTTGGGGAAAAAGAGACAGAGGAAGACAGCGGGATAAGATTCTTGACAGTTTTTTGTCATGGCATTGAAGGGTGTCAACACACAAACTGATACACTCAGTTGCAGATCCCGCAGTTTGTGGAGAGGCACAAGGCACTTGATAATGATGATAATTTTCCAAATCATTACCCTCATGTGCTGTGTTTGACAAATGTATTTAATTATGGTTCTCCGACTGATGGAATTACCAGAATCAAATCTGTGTTCTGACTAAACCATACCCTGTAGTTAAACCATCCACATATTTTCCTCATTTATTGTTCTTTATTCCCATCAAATTTTTAGTTGTCACTTAGTTTATTGGGGGGGGGGGGGGGGGGAAGAAGAGGTGCCACATGTCCGAAAGATGTTACTGTATACTTAAAATTTCTCCTAATAATTTCTCTTAACTAATTACTCTATTGCCCTACAAGCCTATAAAAGTGGGTGCCAGAGATTTATCTAGTGGGTAAGGAAACTGGTCACCTCGTCTCCCTATAAAACTGCCATTACTGTCTGTATTCACCACTTTGGCAGTGTAGGCAGGGGGAGACTGAGGATTTAGGGTCACATTGCTAGTGCTGTCACCACAGATTGTGCAGGTTCGGTTAGAATTCTCAACCTTACCGAGGATTCCAATCCAGGTCTCCTGCATAAGAGTCCTGCGTTCTTAACCATTCGGCCGTGCCCGGCTCTCTAGCGAAGTTGGTTAAACCTGACTTTCGCGGCGACCGGGTGACGAACTCCTTTTGGTCCGGGCTCACTCCCGGGGGTAGGCAGAAAAGCCACATTTCTCCCAGATTAACGGTACCTATAATGGAATCAATGCCGAAGGGTTGCGATATCCATAGTACCGAGCTAAAGGGTTTACAACTCATGGTTTTTGGATACGTAAAAAAAAAAAAAAAAAATACCTCACTATTCTGTGACTTAACTTACGTAAAGTCCTTCAGTTCACACTTCTCTAAAGTAAAGTCTTTTCTGTAAAGAGATTATTACTGCATTATCTCTGAGATGATATACTAGCCTTTGTCCTGTCCTACACAAAGTTAACTGATGATGAATGGATGACAGCAATGATGATGATAATTATGATGATGTTATCAATAACCTTGGATTGTGATGATGACTTACGTAAAGTTCTTAAGTTCACAATCCTCTAGCAGTTTCTGTAAAGGGATTATAATTACATTATCTTTGAGGTTTTAAACAACGGATCAACATCATGGCACACAGGTAGTAACCCATGTGTGCTCTGTTCTTCTTCCAACTCAAGTCTGAGAAGCTCAGCACAGGCACAAGCTCTGTAGCACCAGCGAGGATCCTGAAATACGTTTGGTAGATTTTTAACTCTAAATTTTGCCCGGGCAGCGCCATTAGGCTACTCTTTTTGTTTTCCAACTGCCAAGGGATTTTTTACGTGTGCAACAATGACATGGGCGTCAGATCTCACTACCCAGAGAGCAGTGGGAATTACTAGAAGTCTAAGTCCACGTGAAAAAAATCGCAGCCAGTACCAGGGATTGAACCCTGCACCTCTAGCACTGGAGGCCACGCCATGCCTCGAGACAACGCAGCCACCTCTACATTTTCTTTCAGATGATATACTAGCCTTTGTCCTGTCCTACACAAAGTTAACTGATGATGAATGGATAACAGCAATGATGGTGATAATTGTGATGATGTTATCAATCACATTTGATCCTGATGATGGGGATTGTGATAAAAAACAAGGATGATTATGATCGTTAAAATAAGTAGTCTTTTTTATTTTATTTTTTTTAATGTTAATTTTAAATATGGTCCTGTTATGTATAAGATTTCTCATTGAGTAAAGTTACTGTGTATAATCATTGGCTTTATGAAAAACAAAACAGAAGTAGCATTGCCATTTGTCATTTATGTCAGGAGCTGACATGGGACTTCTGCCTCATCCCATAGGAAACTAGCTACAAATTCCAACGTCATGAATGTGTGTATAAAGAACATGACATGAGATGGTTGACATCAGATGGTTGACATCAGATAGTGGACATGAGATTGGTGACATCAGATGGTTGATGGACTCTGCTTCATTGACAGATAAAATGCAGAAGAAAAGAACAAAAAATTTATTGTGTATTCATTTTTTTTTTAATGACTATTTGGTTTCACTAGTCAGTTTTACGTTCTGTAGTTTGCTATTGCTTTCTGAAAGCTGTCAGAACCATTGTTGAAATCAGTGGAAACCGGTCTGCAACCAAATTACCTGCAGCTGGAATCAAACTAGGTATTTTAGAATTACAAAACATGTTTGCAATGCCTAAGCTGCAAAGCCAACAAGGTAGAAGTTCATTAATCAGTTAATTGAAATTCCAACTTTACAACAAGTGGGTCAACCCAATGTTTGCTCTGTTGCTGTGCCGACGGCAACCACACAAAATACCCATCACTGTTTTTTTCTGAAAAATTGAGACAGACTGCAGTCTCGGCAAAATCAGTAGCATACACACGCATTCAATCCACATCACTTTTCAGAATGATAAACTTGGGAGTTAAGATTGGCATAGAAGAAAAACAAGACGCACACCAGGCGCATCGAAGGACTTATTAATCAACATAGATTAGCCAGCAGATGCCGGGTTTCATACTGACGGTGGGATCTGAGCATCTGTGGACATGTCTGGAGTGCAATGATGATAACCCAACTAACTAACTAACACACATTAAATGCATAAGATCACCATCAGAAGTGCCAACACAAACAGTCTGACACCAGAACTGCACTAAAATTCACTAAAAACTAATAAATATGTTGCCTCAATCATTCTCTCAGATGCAAGATCAATGGGTTCCAGGGGAGGTATGACAACAGACTCTGACATGTATGACACTGGGGATGATGAAATTCTGGAAGCTTGTGTCCGAACTGCAACTGCACCCAGTTCACGACCACAGAGAGAGCGCAAGCGGTCTCGAAGTCATCGCAAATCATGTAAGTATTAGTAGCTGTGAAGTTTTGCATTTGCAATAGGCAAAACATGATTTATTCATGAAACATCAAGTGAGTGTAAGATCATTTAACTGTTTTGTCCTGGTCCTTTTAAATTGCCATTTTAATTATTTTGTATTACGCTGTGTGGTTTTTTTTTTTTTTTTTTTTAAATTGGAACCATTCCTGGAATACTTTCTTCAAATAAATAAAAAAGAAAAGAAATATGTTATGTTCACTATAAACTGCTTGTTATTGTGTATGTATTTTCTGTATTCTTGTATGTCTAGGTGTATGTTATACTTTATAAATGGTGTCTGCTCATGTTATCTATAAAATTACAACTTTTAAGAGTCACTTTTCTGATTCATATGTTAGTTTTTGCATGCACTCATTGTCCTGCTTAATATTTCTAATATGATGTTTATTTTTAATAGTCACATTTGTATTCTTTTGTTCGGTTGAATAGTAAAAGTAAAGGACCCTTTTCCATGCCTTCAGATCTATTGGGCATATAGGGTTAGACCTATATTTGATAGACTAAACAGCACTCAGTTGGTGATGAGGTTGACATTCTGCCGGATGCTTTTACTTCCCATGACTTTATCTGGTACTTTTTTTAAGGCTGGATCGACCAGGATCCACAGTCGAGTATCTGGTCACTACACCACGGTTGAATAGTATGTTCTGTTTATTTTTATAATGTTTATTGTCTCACCATTTTTTTTTTTTTGCTTTGTTCTTGGTGTCCGACTATGTGTTACTCCTTTAATTTATTTATATCTTCATTTAGTCAGAAGTCATTATTAGAAACACACAAAAAAAGTGCTTCTATGTTGCAACTGTATTTGAAACAGTGAATGAAACACAAATGTTGATAATAACAGGCCTGAAACTCTATGCTATAAATGTGGAAGAGTTTTTTTTTTTTCAACATGGGCAGGTCTTGCTAGTCATACTCGTCGTTGCCATGGCCTGTGAGTCCCATGCCTCCTCATAGCCCTATATAATACTATTAACTGGAAAGTCGCAAAGGTGCCAATCAAACATCATCATCATCAGCATATATATATATACATACATATTCACACACACACGCACACATTTAAAGACCTAAAATATACAAAATATAAAAAGTAAAACTCCCTTTTCCGTGCCTTTATGGGTAAAGGGCATATAGGGCTAGATCTGTATTTGTAGAGACCAGTCGACACAAGATGGGTGATGTGGTCAGCATCACGATAGCCGCCTTTACTTCCCAGGAATGCACCTGGTACCCACTCAAAGCTGGGTCGACCTGGGAGTCGATGTATTTTTTTTTTAAAGTCTGGCTCCGCAAAGGGAGCGTAGCCACGACCTTCCGATCCACACGCGAGCGTCTAGCCGCTACGCCATGGCGACTCCCTAAAGTAAAGCTCACAACTTATCTTTAAAATAAAGTTCACAACTTACTCCTTAAAGTAAAGCTCAGACTGACTCCCTAAAGTAAAGCTCACAACTTACTCCTTAAAGTAAAGCTCACAACTTACTCCCTAAAGTAAAGCTCATAACTGACTCCCTAAAGTAAAGTTCACAACTTACTCCTTAAAGTAAAACTCACAACTTACTCCTTAAAGTAAAGCTCAAACTGACTCCCTAAAGTAAAGCTCACAACTTTCTCCTTAAAGTAAAGTTCACAACTTACTCCTTAAACTAAAGCTCACAACTTACTCCTTAAAGTAAAGCTCAAACTGACTCCCTAAAGTAAAGTTCACAACTTACTCCTTAAAGTAAAGTTCACAACTTACTCCTTAAAGTAAAGCTCAAACTGACTCCCTAAAGTAAAGCTCACAACTTTCTCCTTAAAGTAAAGCTCACAACTTACTCCCTAAAGTAAAGTTCACAACTTACTCCTTAAAGTAAAGTTCACAACTTACTCCCTAAAGTAAAGTTCACAACTTACTCCTTAAACTAAAGCTCACAACTTACTCCTTAAAGTAAAGCTCAAACTGACTCCCTAAAGTAAAGTTCACAACTTACTCCTTTAAGTAAAGTTCACAACTTACTCCTTAAAGTAAAGCTCAAACTGACTCCCTAAAGTAAAGCTCACAACTGACTCCCTAAATACCTAAGTGACATGATAATTATGAGCAACATTAGTCAATCTGACAACTGATTGATTTACATGAGAACTGACCTGTCCTGTTTTATCCTCAGCATTTTGGGACAGTGATTTCTAGGTAACTCATTTTGACAGCTGGCTAGTTCTTTCTCCCTCAGTTTTGTCTTTAGAGTTATTTTTGTAATTGACTTATAAATTACCTAATATTTAACACACTTACAAATTCAGTCATTGGTGATTTTTGAAGTGTTCATTTTGTTTGAAATACTAACCCAGAACTGAACATCATATAAACTGGTTGCCAGTCTTTGAATGAGCATTTGTGTTCTCAGTAGTTAATAATTAATAGTTCTCAATAGTTAACGATTAAAAGTTCTCAATAGTTAATGATTAATAGTTCTCAATAGTTAATGATTAATAGTTCTTAATAGTTAATAACAAAATCTTTTCCTCCTGTTTTTTTTTTTGTGTGCACTTATTCTGCTTGTGATTTATACTGGTGTGATATGTTTGCTGAATATTTTAAAAAAAAATTGATACTAATTGACGTAATGTATAAATAAGTGTATACTTCTGCAGTTGAGATCCTCCCTATCTAGACACAAATTAACTAAATTGACATATGAATATTCACAGCTTATTTAAAGCGAATTTAAAGAACAAAATAAATCTAGCCTGTTCTGTTTGCTATATACCATGGAATAGTAATTCTAAACACCAGTGCTCCTCTGATACTAAGTAATCTCATCTCTACTCATCATCTAATCTCATCTTGACCCTCCGGTACCTTGCAGTGTTGTATGATTTAGGGGAAAGAGCCCGTTTGTCTGCTTCCCTCTGTTCATGAATCGCATGGCCGCCCTTTTCTTCGCTTTCCACCTGTCTGTACATCATTGCTTGCTGTGGTATAATGCCTGCTGACATCCATGTTATATGGCCAAACCATTTCGCCTGTTGTCTTCTAAAGAAATCCTCAGCTGCTGCTACCCCCAATTTCCTTCGGATTTCATAGTTTCTGATCCTATCTCTTCTTATTATATTGAGAGCCCTTCGCAGGAATATCATTTCAGTTGTAATTTTTCTTTTCTCTTTTCTGTCATTGTCTAGGTCTGGCATTGGTAACACGGGGTTGGCAAGAAGATTGTGTCATAGAGTGCTCTTCTGGTTTCTGCTGATACATGTTTGTTTCTTAGTATTGGTGCCATTTGCCATTGCTGATACATGTTTGTTTCTTAGTATTGGTGCCATTTGCCATTGCTGATACATGTTTGTTTCTTAGTATTGGTGCCATTTGTGCCAAATGAGTTGGGTGGTTTGCTTTGTCACCTCTGTCATCAATCTCATCTTCTGTTTTACCAGCTGATGATATTATGCTTCCTAAGTATTTGAAGTTCTTGTTTTGTTTCAGAGGGTGTTCTGTAAGCTGGATATGTATTGTTTTGTCTAATTTGGCTATGGTTATGACTTCTATTTTGTTGGCATTAATTTTCATGTTATAGTATTTGCAAATTTGGTTTAAGTGATTTATATGGTCTTGCAGTTAAGTTTCTGAATTAGCAATTAGTGCTTGGTCCGCAAGTAGTAGTTCTTTGATGAAACTGGCTTTGGATCTTCTTCCCCTTGGTATATTATAGTCCTTGTTTGGTTGGTTTCTTTACAGATGTTATTACTGTAAGTTATAGAGAACAGAGGATACAGGACACTGCCCTGCCATACTCTAAATTTTATGGTGAATGGTTTTGAGTGTTCTCCGGTTGTTTTGACAGCACAATTACTGTTGTTATGCAAGCTTTTTCATATGCTCATTATTTTTCAAACTTGTTCCTTTCTTTAAAAAAAAAAGGTAATTGTGTATCCTTTATAGGATGTTGCAGAACCAACCCCAGCATATTTTTGGCTGTTGTGGTTTTTCTAGGCAAACTTTTATGTTCAGTAGTATGCCATTGCTGTCTGAACGGCCAGCTCTCGGTACCACTGTAGAAACCAACACAAGACAAACAGTCCGCAACTGGGATCAAACCCGGCACTCTGGCATTATAAAGCTCGTTGGCAATGCCTATGCCACAGACGCTGACTTTCTACTGCCATAAAATGATTGTCAGAGATGTAAATCACAACACAACATGCCTAGTGCCCTTTTAAGTGTGGACACAGTAGAAGAAGGCCAAGATGTTTTGCCACAAGATGTAGTAACATTGAAAGCCTATGGCACAACATCTGTTATATCACTGGCTCTCGGCCTTTCTAATGCCACGACCCTTTGATTCAGTTTCTCATGCTGTGACGACCCTTTAATACAGTTTCCTCATGCTGTGACGACCCTTTAATACAGTTCCCTCATGCTGTGACGACCCTTTAATACAGTTCCCTCATGCTGTGATGACCTTTTAATACAGTTCCCTCATGCTGTGACGACCCTTTTATACAGTTCCTCATGCTGTTCCCCAAAGCATACAATTGTTTTCATTGCTACTTCATAACTTCAATTACTATGTGTTTTGTGATGGTCTTTGGCGACCCCTGTGAAAGGATTGTTTGACCCCAAAAGGGGTCACGACCCACAGGTTGAAAACCACTGAGTTATATGATAAACCCATCTAACCAGATGAGAATCGTGGACCATTTCACAATCAGTGAGGATTAACAGATACTTTTTTTAATTTAAATCTTACGTAATACGCTTAAAATAATATGTATCAAAAAGATAAATATTAGTGACATTCTTTAAGATCTGAACATTTCAAAATGTTATTTATGACATTTGTGACATATTAAGTATCATGCTGGTTTATAAAAAAGCAATAACTGAGTATTTTTTCCTGGAAGATGAAGCAAAGGCAGTAGTGTGCATGAGACGTTAAAGCCGTCCTGACCATGAGAACTCTTGAGGCTGAATAAATTGCACCCTGTGATGATGAGAACTATGTTCTGCGAAAGGACTGCTGAATGATAATGATCACAGTTTCATAGTAGAGGAACCTACAGTCGTCTGTATGCAAATAAGTCAGATCTGTAAAACAGATGTGCAAGCAACAATCAGGTTCTGTAACAAGTTTAAAGTCCAAAGGTGAATGAACTACCAGAACTTTCCGCCGGAGTTCACAACTGGTGGACACCAACAAGAAGAATCAAAAAGGTTAACTTAATAAAATAGAAACAAAACAGTTATAAATATTATAATCTTTCTTGAATTTAAGGCTTAATTTTGCCATAAATAACAATTAATTTGAAAATAATTGTAATATTTTAGGCAAATTTATTAAAGGAAGTAGTGCCCCTAATTTGCTAGAAAGAATTGCTTGATGATGCTAGTTGAGGCTGCAATTTGCATTTCTTTTCTGTCATCTGATATGTTGAAAGCTTTCTTCACCTCATCTGTTCAGTTTGTTTGAATCCTAAAGCATTTTGTTTCTTGAATTAATGCTGTATTATTTTGAAGTTTATATTTTAAACAAAGTTTTCATTTGAAAATTTTTTTGTGTGGAAAGGTTTAGGAAATTGTTTTGGCTTTTTAGTTAAGCTTATGTAGGTGTAGCAAACATTGCATTAATGTTTATGTCCAGTGCCTTTGATAATAATGTTAATTTTAAACAAAATTATTAATGCACCAAGAATATAATATGTATTAAAAAGAGTGGCTTCATAAATAGTAGGTTAATTTTAGGGAATGTATAGCCAGTCCTTATGTGAATTATAGATGGTCACGCAACAAGTGAACTTGTTTTTTGAAAGTGCGAAGATATGATTTTTTTTTCCTCTAGAATATTGAGCTAAGAACTGACATCATAGCACTCAAAACTTTCACACAAGCATGCGGTCCTCATCTTCAGCAGCTAGTGAAGCATTTCAGTTCCAGTGGTGCTAGTAGCAGCTTGATTATATGTCCGTCTTATATTGCCTTTCCTTGAGAGGTGAGTGTCGACCAGGTCCCCCCGGTCACTCCTAGCTTTGCCAAGGTCATTTTTTTGAAAAAAAGTCAGGCTCCGCCAGGGAGCGAACCCACAACCTTCCGATCCACAGCGAGCGTCTAGCCGCTCGGCCACGGTGACTCCCCAAGAAAATGTTTTACCAACAGTATATTAGCCTACAGTTTACATATAATGGAATCAAGAGTGTGAAACATATGTAAGGTGATATGCATGTGTAAAGATAACCTGATATGGTGGAAGATTTTTTTTTAATTGGAGAGTTTATAATGATTTTGTTCCACTAACATCTTTTCCTGGCTTGCTTTTTTATGTCATGCTCTAGTAATTTCATGAATGGTAAAGGCATGAACAGAGTTGTGCTTCTTTGATGCTATTACTGTTAACCAAGGGTTTTTACTGAATTCTTTAAACTAGTTAATATAGTTAACATTCTAGACATTTTGAACTAATGTTGTTGCCATTCTAGACAGTTTCAAGTAATTATATTCTGGGTAGTTTATCATAGTTTAATTAGTGATTTCGGGTTATTTATAATTATACTGTCACATTTCAGAGCACGGAGCACTTACTTTTTAGTAGTAAATAAGCAGGTAATGGCAGGCAATAGTGATTGGCTGGCTAGTTGATTGGCTTGTGTAGATTTAAACTTTGATTTTTCTAGGAGTTTTTTAACAAACTGTGGTTAACTTCTTGAAAATTTTAACTAATTTAATATCAGCTGCTAGTTGTATTGAGTGTCACTTGGCCTGTCTACAATTTAGTTAAGATGAAGCTATATAGTATTACTAAATGTGACTGCATAGACTTTTGCCTTATGCAGGATATCTTTGATTGACTGCTATGCATGGTCTTTAGTGGGTTGGACTATTTTGTACAGATTTACTTGTGCAGAAGGTAAAGACTATAATTGTTAATTACTGAGCACATCACTATATTGTTCCGAGAACATAAAGACCAGTAACTCTTTTTCTACCAGCCTTTAATTAATTTCACTTCATATATCCTGAAGAGTTCTAGTTAAAGTAGCCACGGTTTGAGTCCTAAGAAGTTAAAATAATATTTTAGGCTGTGGGATACAGGACATTGAAGATGCATTGGTTATGAAAGCACACAGTGAAGACCGGACGCCCGTGTGTATTGTTGTGCACGTAAAAAATCCCTTGGCAGTTGGAAATTGAAAAGAGAAGCC